CTTTGTGTTTCTACTTAAACCTCCGAGCCAAGGTTTGTGTCTCAGTTACAAAGGCTTCAAAATACAGATGTGGACGGGATTGTCATGTCTTTGAGCCATGTGATTTGTTGTAATAGGAGTCTGTTGGGTACCTTTTAAATTGTGTGCTCGTATGACTGAGCAATTCAGATTTTTTTTCTTGTCAATACTCCTGGGAAACGAAGAGAATAGGGGAAAGAGAGGGAAGAAGAGATCTTTATTTTGCATCACCACTGTTTATAATAGCTTTCCTCTGCTTCTGAACCAGAGAAGGTCAGAGGAGTATTTCTGAGCTGTGAAGTCAAGGAAATTGCAAGGGCTAATTAGAAAGGTCGGGCATAAAGAGTAAGGAAGGGACCACTGGATAAGATTCATAGATGCTAGGGTCGGAAGGGACCTCAAAGGATCATCAAGTCCAACCTCCTGCCAGTGGCAGGAAAAAGATGATAGTCTGGCATTTGGGAGACCTGGATTCAAACCTTTTCTCCACTGCTGGGTTCCTATATGAACTTAGGCATTTACCTAAGCTCAGATCCGAAGAGATGTTAGGCCTACTACTTCCTAGCCAGGGGTTAAATCCCCAACTGAGATCAGTAAGAGTTAACGTCTATATACCTTTGTGCATCTCAGGCTTAATCGTTTTGTGCTTTGTGTCCCCATTTGTGGAATGGTTGTAGTAGTAGTTCTGTACTTCCTTAGGTGCTGTGTTGATGAATACAGTGAGGAATGTGAATTGCTCAGATGTCAAGAATTGAACAGTATAGTAAATGAGTAATAACTGCATAAAAAAGACCTGAAGAAGAATGTGCTGCATTTGAAAAGTTATCTAAGTCTATTCCACCTGTGTAGTTGGTCCATCAGAAGACATCACCCACAAAAATCCTTGCCTCTTTTCATAAGAAAGACACGAGAGCAAATCAAAACCCTTCCAAATTTCTTTATCAAAAGGCAATGTCTCAGTTCCTTTTTCTATAAATATAACTCCCTTGAATTCAACAGAGTTGCATGCGATTTGCATTTGCTTTAAATAAAGTGGGCAGCCGGCTCTGTGAAACCTCAGGATTTGGGACTCGAAACCCAGCTATCACTGCTTGTTGTGTGCTTACAAGCAGCATTTTTCTTCTGAGGAGCTTAAAATGCAGTTTGCCACTATCATCTTTTTCACGGTTACACTTCATCCACCCCTTGCTCCCCCTTTAGGATTTTGAACGGTTTTGCTCAGTTGTCTCGAGAGTCATTTCACACTTCATGTTTTTTGCACAGAGGATTAGGAGACATTTTGCACACTTCTCCCCCCACCCCTCCCCAAAGAAAGGCGATTTAAAAAGCTTTCTCTTTTCTACAGGGTCTCAATGCTGGTGTTACCAGCTCTTCCACTTGCTTGTTCTTAATTGTAATACGTTTCTTTGCTGAAAGCTGATCTTCACCGTGGCTTCTGTCATTGGCAGATCTCATGTGAAGATTAACAGTTGCGTGGGATGGTTTAGACAGAGGTGATCCTGCCCAGAGGAGAATTGGACTAGAAGATTTCTTTAGGTTCCTGTTTTTATCTATGATGGTAGTGTGCAACGCCAGCCAGTTGGATATGTCCTTGAATAGGTCATGTACAGAGAGGTCCTGCTTCTGTGAAGACACAGAGTTCAGTTCAAGTGGACCAAGCAACATCTCTGGCTCATTCTCTGTCCTGTGGCTGCAGTAACTTGCTTGGGCCTAGACCAAGAGAAAAAGAAATGGCATGATTTTTTTTGCCATTGGGAAGCTCCAGGCCGTAGGTAACATGGTTAGGATCGGTTGAGTCTGTTTTCCTCTAAGTTTTGTTGGTTCTTGTTCATTGGCAAAGCAATCTGTTTCTCTGTGCTATGGGTCCCATGTCTTTCATAGATTCATAGATTCATAGATTAAGGGTCGGAAGGGACCTAGTAGATCTTCTAGCCCGACCCCCCGCCAGGGCGGGAGAACAACAAAAACCCCAAAAAGAGAAATGGGACTCAAACGAGTCCAGCTAGGTGG